AGAAAATATAATTAAAGGTAACATACATTCAAACTGCTCACTGAAATTTTTCTTCTTTGGTTATTTGTTTGTTTTGCTTTGTCTAATTTAGAAATTTATGTAAATCAACACGTTAAACATTAAAATTAACTGAAAACAGAGTTAGTTTCAGTTTTAGAAGTAAAAATCGATTATACGACGCAATCGTTTATACGACGTTTTTCGGTGGTCCCTTTGGCGTCATATAAACGATGCTCCACTATATATACATATATATATATTGTTTTGGTTGGTAATGTTGTTTTTTAAGTAAGGGCCGTTTTGTTGTGTGCACTAATAGTCGCAACGAGTACTTGTGTCGTGTCCCGGAGCACAAAAACCGGTTGTTTGGAACAACTGCACTCAGTTGCAGCAGTGTAGGTAAACTGTACGGTTCAGTTCTGTGTCTTTAAAATGTTCAAATTTACAGTAATCAATTATTGGAATCACGGTTACAGCTGTAATAAAATTTTTTAAATGCTGTAATTATGATTACAAGTAATAGATTACTGTAATCGACTATCGTAATCACGATTACAGCTGTAATAAAAGTTGTAATCATGATTACAAGTAATTGATTACTGCAATCAAAAAATTTAATCTATTACTTTTTTGCCCAACTCTGATTGCGTCGAACCATAATTATTCCTTTAAGATGTTGTTCTGCTCATAAACGAAACTTTTGTTTTATTGATCATTATTTCTGTAATTTAATTATAAGAAAAGTTTATTGGAGAGATAGGATTAAAACAAAAGGATTTATATGAAAAATGATATGATAAAAAATACCTTTGGTTTTGATGTGCTTGTTAAGATTCGAGAAAATCAAATTCTGTTTCTCATTCATTCTTCTGGTTTCTACAGCCAACATCAAATATTCTTGAATAAATGTCACCCAAAAGTGCAAAGTTACTTGAAAGAAAATTTTTTGAACTTCAGTGACACAGTTGGAATGCAACAAATATAGAATGGAAACTCTAAACAGAATAAAAACGGCATTTATATTTCTTTATTTTTTACCAACAATTTCTTGTTACCAGTGTGTCTGCTGTCAATTTAAAATCCAGATTATTTTTTTAAAAAAAAGAAAAACAGGGTTCGATACTCGATATTTTTAAACTTAATCAATTTTTAAGAATATGCTCTTTGTGTAAGACACTGTAGAGTATCTACCACTACAGAAATACAATTACAATTCACTGGTATATAAGACATGTTAACTCGAATCTTCTCATAGATGAAGGCTGACATTGTCGATAACAACTATCCCCACATTGGTGACCCGGACGTGATGCGAACACGCCAATCCTGACAGAAACTCCCACTTCGGTTTGAACACGCCTAATAAGATGGGTGGTTCACATTGAACAGATGACTTGCTACTTGTGACTGCGACATTATCCACATCTTCGCGCTGTTGCTAGTCAATCTCTATCACACACAACGTCAGCCCGTATACACTCGACTGCTAATGGCAACACTGGAGCGACACAGCTCAGACGATCAGCAGTCAAAAGTACGGTGATCTTAATACAGTTATCCCGACTTCTCTCAAAAATAGCAATGAATCAACCAGTGGTATCCTTTCATCGAATTATTTTAAAAAACACACACACGCACGCACGCACACACACAGATATATATATTTATATATATAACTAGACAAGTCAGTTAAAGTATATAATAGATGGAAAAGTGAGTCCTTTACCTAGTTATTCTATGAAATAACTAATGATAGACATTTAAAATGAAAACTGTTCCAAAGTTATTTTATAAATTAATTGATCATAAACAGTTAACATCTGACAAAAATACATTTTATCCCTATTGCGGATGATTAATTGATAAATAATTAGGAAAAATATTTCTTGATAATCTAACATGTTAAACGCTAACTATCTAATACACCGTCTAAACGCAACGAAATGAACAACGTTATTGCTAAACAGCTATTAGCGATTCAAAACTGACTAAAAGCAGCTTGGACCGGTTCAAAGAGCTTTCGAGTCCCGTATTTTATACTTTTAGGATCGTATTATTCTATAGAATACCTAGTTACTCCATGAAATAACGTAACGTAATATATGTGTGTGATAACATAACTGTGACAGAAAAATTAGACTTACTGAAGTGATCTGATTGATTTTCCGAAAGAAGGTGAGATAGTCTGTTTAGCGTGTACACCCACAAAAGTAGGAACTCCTCTTCTTTATCACTCTCTGCTCCGACATTTTCCTTTCAAAAAAGACATCGTGAATGACCGAAATCAGGAGAATGTCCACTTTTACCGGTCAACAATCACATAGTCGCTTCAGTGAATGTCCGAAATATTTGATACTAATTTATTCGTTGATATTATATTTATTCGATATTTTAATATCAGCTGAGAATGGATTAGAAGAAACATCAGTGTTCGAAGTACCGGGCAGTAACACTGAACCTTGAAAAAACATCGGTGTAGGTTATCCCGGGCAAATGTATACCCTGTATCTTAAAAAAACATCAGTGTAGGGTATACCGGGCAAATGTGTATACCCAGCATCTTAAAAAAACACCAGTGTAGGGTATACCGCGCAATTGTATACACTGAATCTTAAAAAACCATCAGTGTAGGGTATACCGGGAAGTGGAATTAAACCTTAAGAAACCATCGGTATACCGGGCAGTGGAACTGAACCTTAAAAACCCATCAGTGAAGGGTATACCGGGTAGTTGCAGTTAACAAGACCTAGTATATTAACAAAAGTGATTGTCAACATTCATCAGCGGAAGTCAACCCATTTCAGACATTCACAGTAACATACATATCACAGGATAAAGTGTCAAAAAAAGCAATTACTAAAATCTGCGAAATAATTACACTATACAAAATATTTAGTTTTCTTAGAGAGAAAAAAATAAACAATATTGTGTGCATTCTAAATGTCATTTTGTTACATTATGTTTTATTTTATTTTATAACCGTCGTTGAACAGTCGACCCAATTTTGGGTTCACGACTACTAACGTTCAACTCCTCGTAATTTTGAACCCAATACAGAAGACAAGGGAACTCCTGGATCAAGTATTGGGAGAAATTTGCCTTGGTGGTGGACTTTTTTGATGGAACTAACCCGCATTTGCGTTACATGGAGAGGAAGACCACAAGAGCCTTCCACAATTAGAGTTGACGGCAAAGGGACTCTAACCCATGACCCGTCTAACCCTGAAGATATTTCGCATCAGCACTGTGGTCGGTGCAAGCTGGATGCGAAATTCGTTTTGACCAGCCATCGCTGGGGATTCGAACCCGGTTAGGGTCATTGGATGGCGAACGCTCTATCCCCGGAGTCATTGCGGCTTTTACGTTATGTTTGCTGGAACTATGTTATTTTTTAAAAATTCATTATGCTTCATAAATATGTTTTTGCTTTCTTCCGATTCAACTTTTAAATTTTGAAGCCTAATGTGCAATTTATAACGACTTACATATATACAGAGCTTCTGAAAATATATATTTTAGATGACAATTATGGATAATTCTGAAACATAAGCTAAAACGTTTTTTGAGAACAATTAAAAGATCAAATAAAAAAATTAAATCCAATCAAAACCTAAAAAATAATCTTTATGTTTCTCTTTTTTAATCTTTCATACGTATTTGCGTTTATATGTATTGGGATCTAATTCCCCGAAAAATTTTAACGGTTATCTCGCCTGGTGACGCATGCGTACAACAATTTTCATAGATTTCAATCTCCCTTTTCTTTACCTGGTATATGTTGTTTAAGATAACGACATCCAAACATTCCATTAATTGTTCGATATCGATGACCTTTTCTAAGAGATTCATGACGTCACATTCAACTATAAACAATAAAATTAATTATTTTATTCGAGAGAAAAAATGTTGTTATTTATTAATTATTTAAAACTATTTAACAAAAAGAGAAATTATATGAATTATTCCAGCGGACATTGAAATCATCATTTGTAAAATGTTAAATATATTTATGTATATATAATATTTAAGAGAATGATAATTTTATTTCTGTTTGTAAATTATTAAATAATAATGTTAAATTTTTAGATGGAAATTAAAAAAAAAGTCACGAAACGGAAAATTAAAAAGCCCTAACAGCATATCATTTCCTTAAAGCGTGAAGAGGACCACTCATAATTACTTTTTAATTGTCGAAGATAAATTTAGTGTTCACGGACCACCTTTAATTTCACAGGAAAACAGTGAATATATATTTTCGGTTCGCAAACAAAACAAAATATGATTTAACTCAAACAATTAAGCTCATACAAAAAAATATCTCCGTAATGAGTTACGAAAGTTAACTACATGTAACTCAACCTAATGCATTAAAAGAAAGTAGTAAGTATATATACTTAAATTTGTATGACGATACTGGGCATTGCAAAACTGACCGATTGTTCGAAAATTAAATTAAAACCTGCAGTTTTATTATTATTTTTTTTAAAAACTAGAAAATTATTCTTGCTAAGTTTCAACATTCGTCCATTGTTCGACAAGGTATACCAATCGATACCTCTCTGCGGGCTGATAAAATCTGTAATACAATGGATGCTTGAAACAGAAACAAGCTTCCTAAAGCCGGAAGAAATTTAGAAAACTTCCGGTGTATCCCTCCGCTTATGGTGTGCTTACAAGGCGATTAGTGAACAGGCTTAATATTCTATAGGGAGTTTCACTATTGTGTTTAAATTTGAGCCTAATTTTACTATTCATAAAACTTTTTTGAAATTTATGAAATTCTAACAGGTAAAAAGAAGAAGCCTAAAAAAATTGAGCAAAATTAATATCAAAAAAATAAAAAATTGAACAAAATTAATTTTTATTATTGTGATTCGTGCTTAACTTATCGCGTAATTTCATCATTTGTAAAAATTCCCTGTACAGTTAAAAAAATTTAACTGGTGGTGAGTCTAAAGAGAATTTAAGAAAACTAATATAGAAACACAAGTGTAAGGTTTGCCTTATTTTGAGTGTTATCCCTTATTTGGCTATAGTTGTGCAAATATCACCAATTGTAATTTTTAAGATTGCATCATAGAATGCTTGCGAAGTTTTCCGAATACAGTCGTTGTTTCTTTCATTGAAATTTAAATTAAAAGAACACGTTATTTTGAAAACACTACAATTATAAAAATATTTGGCGTGCTTTTTCAAACTTACCCAGAAAGCATGTAACCTTACGGCAACCTTGTGTCGGAATTTTCTTTTTATCGTCCCGAAAACTTTGTACTAAAAACCTTTTTTCAATTGAGCAAAAATATTGCTGTTTCAAACCTTTCATTCTAAAAGGGTTAAAAAATTTTAACACCTTTTTTAAAAAGTATTGTCACTTACGTAAAATGGTCACTTAGGTTCATCATGACGTCACACTAGCGATAGGATCAAATTGCATTGTCCATTAAAATTTCATGACAAGGTGAATTTTAGCGGAGCATGCAAAACTTTGCGAAAAGAAACCTTATAATTATCTACATTTAAGATTATTTTAACCTTAAGACTAGCTTTATTCAAGGTTTCTTATTACGCTTGGAAACCCTAATACAACCTCTATTTAAAGTTTTTATATAGAAGGTTGTTTTCCAGGTTTTTGGATCATGGGTAATGTGCGTAAAATAGAGCAGTTTGTCACAGATCTCATTTTAAGGTTAGAAGGTTTACACGTAGACTACGTATAAAACCTTTTTAGGTTTGCATTAAAAGATTTTTGCTGAGTGAAAATAAACCTTATTTTGCTATCTGGGAAGTAATTTTGCCCACAGACTGCATCATGTTTCTTTTTTCCGAAAACGCTATGATATTTAAAACTTTGTCAGCACCTTCATCTGTTGACTAACTTAGGGCTNAAAAACCCTTAAGGAGAAATTTATCTGGTAAACGAATACATTTTGCTGAAAAATAAAAATTATACAGATATGCTGCGATTACGTGGAAAATTGTAAATTATGCGGATAATTGTGAATTATGCGGGTTTCCGCATCTTCCGCATCTTCGCATAATTTATAGGGTCCTAATCATGGGTAATGTGCGTAGAATAGAGCAGTTTGTCACAGATCTCGTTTTAAGGTTAGAAGGTTTACACGTAGACTACGTATAAAACCTTTTTAGGTTTACATTAAGAGATTTTTGCTGAGTGAAAATAAACCTTATTTTGCTATCTGGGAAGTAATTTTGCCCACAGACTGCATCATGTTTCTTTTTTCCGAAAACGCTATGATATTTAAAACTTTGTCAGCACCTTCATCTGTTGACTAACTTAGGGCTGTACCAATATCCAACCACAGTAAACCATCGTCGGTCATTTTTGCGCACCCGATACTTTACCTTTATTTGGCGAGTCATTACACTTTGGCGCTGTTTTTATGAAATGGTTTTTTTCGTATGCTTCCAGATTTAAAATCTCATTGTAAAGTGATTTCAGAGGTATCTGGCTTAAAATTGGTCTGGCAACCTAAAGATAAAAAAGAGTATTTTTACAAAATGGCAGTACTTGATCAAAGCCTTCTAAAAATATGCTTTTAAGTTAAAATTCCTTTATGCTTAAAATTAAATAATCACATTACCTTACTCTATGGTACGTAAATGGTTTAAAAATAAGGGAGGAAAAGTTATTAAAATTTGATCAATCATATGTTTAGGGTATCCAAAATTAAGCAAACTTTTTATTTTTTTTTATTTATTTCATTATTGTTTATTATTTTTATTATTATTTATTTATTTTTAAATATTTTTCATTACAAATGAGATTTTGCATAAATACGATGTTTAGTCTAAGTTTATGTAACAAAGTTATAAGTAAGTTTATGCATAACAGAGCATGCATTTTTGTTAAGAATTTCCCGTTTTGTTTAAAAAATTTTCTTTACAAAAGTGCCGTATGACGCAATTATACCACCAGCTACAATCTCACGTCATAATCGTAGAACGGAATTTTTTTTATGCGTCAACAATCAATGGAAAAAACAATCATTGGAAAAAGCAATAAAATGAACTTGCGGCGCCATCTGTCAGAAAATCTATGAACTAAAACGAAAAAATCTGATAGAAAAAACGTATGCAGTACGACAGAAATCTGAAGCAATTAATTATTATTTTTTTTCTTATTTTATTTCAATCTTCAGTGTTTTCTTTCAGAGAAAACTTAAACCCTGTATTTTCAATGAATTAGAAATCGTTTATGGATGGTTGATCGTGTAAAGCTTGGCGCAGATGACGTTGGAGGTCAAAATTCGCCATAAAACTTCCGGGTTACTATTTCCGACTGATTTTTGCGTCTAAACTGGAAGAAACACGCCATCCAATTTTATTATACTTGTAGTGCTTTCAACATAACGGGTTTTTTTTTAAATTTAACTTCCAACGAAACAAACAACAAAAGAATTCGGAAGAGTTCGCATAAGCTTCCCACAATGATACCTAAAAATAATAAAATACGGCATTATTTTACGCAAATACTGCCAAATAAGGGATAACACTAAAAATATGGCAAACCTTACACTTTATTTATGCTGTGATATTAATTTTGTTCAATTTTCGTTTAGGCTCGCGACAAGTTAGAATTTCATAAATTTCAGAAAAGTCTTATGAATAGTAAAATTAAGCGCTAATTTAAACACAAATCACAATATTAGAACTTCCTGGAATATTATAAGCTTGTTCACACATCGCCTAGCATAACATAAACGGAGGGATACACCTGGAAGTCTTTTTAAATTTCTTCTGGTTTTATGAAGTATATCATTATTTACATTCAGTCAACCATTCATTCTAGTGGAATGCGTGATTGAAATTAGATAGATACTCACTTGTGAGAAATGAAGAAGAGCTACATGCCGTTTTAAAGCGGCGCAGAATCTTTTGGCTGTTTCCATTTTGATAGATTTCAAAGAGATAGGCATGTTTTCAAGTGCGCATGTCAGCCATATCTGCCAATGAGAAGCCACATTTTGAATATCTCGCAGTAACCTAAAGATTTAGGATATATTCAAGTAAACTTGTGTTGTTAATGAATCAATAACATACATATTTGTATATATTTATTTTATTACCCCACCTGTGTTCACATTTCGTCAATTCTGGCATTTACAGAGCAGATTTGTTGGCCACTCTTTCAGGGGTATCCTATTAGGTGGTCCAACGTTTCTCTCACAGTAAGGACAGATAGTACAGAGAATGAATGATCATCTATGCCCTACCCGGGATTCGAAACCAGAACCTTTCTGATGCAAGGTCGGTTCTCCGATTTTTACACCTTTCGGCTTATTTATTATTATTGAGTCGGTATCATTTATATTTATTATTATTAAGCGTCCATGTAATTCAATTGTACTTGAAAAAAAATTAAACTTAGGAATACAGAATGTGGAACACAATATTCAATAAGCAATTCGTAATGTTACTTATTAATAATGTAAAATGATAACTGTGATGCCACAATAGGGATTACATATTTCCAAGCTGTTAATCCAAGCTGTTAAACTTTCTTTAATTTCTCAGACTTTTATTTTTTTAATCATTCTTAATTGAATTGTAATTAAATCAAATCAATTAATTAATTTTTATTACAATTTATTAAAAGCGAATAGAAAATATTTTATTCTTTTCTTATTGATTAATGTATCGGATAACTTTTTACTTCTGTACAAATGTAAGACTCATTAATTCACTGTCGCGACTAATCGAACACAAAAATCTATTTATAACTCTTTATTTCTCATCACAAATATGTTTCAGTTATACTAATTCTCACAGTCTTGTTGGCAATTTACGATAGTCAAACTAATTTCAAATTTAATATTGACTATAGGGGTTGGCTTTATTTTTGGCAATGTTATCTTTCGATAAATCTCCAACCTTGGGTCTTTTCCCATGCTCCTAACTGTCCGTTGGGAACAATTAATTCAATTTTCAATTTCCAATTTTTGGCAACTGGGGGTGCCTTTTTGGGCATCCCTGTCCCAACCGTAAAAATGAAATGCTAACAAAAATTCTCGATGTAAACGAATGATTTTATCTTAATCCTTTTAAGGGATTTATTTTCTTTATAAATTTTATATTTTTGAATTATGGTCATTTTCAATAATTGATAAATAAATTTTTCTTAAGCGATTTTATTTATTTCTCTGAGACAATAATCATTTTGTTACATCCAAATTAAGATGCATCTGCAATTTTCAAAAAGTCAATAATGCTACCTGTACATATCCACTAATTAATTTAAAACGATCACCATCACAACAATAACATTATTTCATGTAACAGTACAAATTGGAAACAGCTTTTATCTAACAGTTCTATTAAGCAGTTTATATAAAGTTTTATAAAACCGATACAGATTGTTAGATTTATATCTAGAGCATTCACTCTCATTTTTTATCATATTCATTTATTATTTTCTTTTTGTTACTTATTGAACTAAGTTAAGCGCGAACTTATAAATTAAAAATCTCAAGGGGATAAATGTTTCTACAATAAGGGATTAATAGTCATTATATATTTTTCTTTTTTTTAAAGAAGTGAAAAAATTTGCGAAGAAAAGCGTTTAAATACCAATAACAATAACTTTCGAACAAACTAGAATTTTGAAGAAAAAAATATATCGTGTTAAGTTCATAAATGAAAATGAATTCAACTCGGTAGCTGAATTTTTGTAGCCTTCAGAGTGACCCGTTTGATTTTTTTTTTTATTACAAGTTCAATATTTAATAACTATATCGAAATAATTACTAGACGTTAATATTTTTTCCAAAGTACTATTCTGCATTATTTCTAATTTTAGCAAGGCAAAATGTTACACAACACCCAAAAAAGCGGTAAATAATTTTTAATATCGAGGGACATTTATCAATATCATTTAGTCTGTATTTTGATTGTTTTCAGTATTAAATTTATTTTATAAATGTTTTTATTTTAAAATTTTTTTTGCATTGTAAAATAACAACACGTATTGAAAACTAAGGCGAAAATATTGTGCGGTTTTGAAGATAACTTCTCCAGACCAAAAGTCTAGGGCTGTTGAGCGAGAGCACATTTCTAATGGAGGAATGAAGGTGTCGATTGGTTTACTCACGCCAAGATTAAGAAAAAACAATTCACCCCACATCCCTATTCAAAGTGACTATTCCTCGAAACCATGGTATCCACTTCGACGCGAGATTGACGTCGGAAGGAGTTCTCTTGATAGCTACACTATACTCACTTTTCAGGAATTTCAATGATTTCAGACGGAATAAGAATATCAATCAGCGTCTATAATAATAAATATAAAACAACAAGGGTTATGATATTTATTTTATTGTCAACATGAATCACTAAAAAAAAAAAAAAAACTTACCCGATGCAATATCGAATCACAAGCAATCAAAACATCAGTGGTCAATTCATATTCGAATATAGACAGTAGGTGATTCGGAAAACCTTGCCAAAAATGAAGTAGAAACAAACGGATCTATGGCGAAAATAATATTCGTTAAATATCCAAATAAATATATACAATAACAAGCTTCCTAAAATCGGAAGAAATTTAGAATATTTCCGATGTATCCCTCCGCTTATGTTATGTTTACGAGGGGATGAGAGAACAGGCTTAATATTCTAGGAAGTTTTAATAGTGTGATTTGTGCTTAAATTTACGCATAATTTTACCAGTCATAAGAGTTTTTTGTAATTTATGAATTCTAACAAATCGCGATCCTAAAACCAAAGTTAACCCTTTGTCATATTTTGGGGAGCATCGTAGCAAGTTTGCGTGGTCTTACAAATTGATTTGTTGTTTGTTTCGTCGAAAGTTAGATACAAAGAACGCGTTACATTGAGCGACCTATCCCAAGAGCTACCACCACTTTCAAATTATTGATTGACATTATTTTTTTTATCTGTTGATTATTGAAGAACAGATTCCATTGATCATATAGTTCGTTTGTCGAATGAACTCCCTCCGCCAATCATCTGGAGCACTGTCAGTGACTATGGTTACGCCATTGAACTGTTTCCCTAAAGGTAGTAGCTGAATCAGAAATCTGGAAGTGCATTTCAAAGTAATTTAAACAAAATTCATTCATTCGTATTGGAGTAGAATGCATTTTTTTCACGCTGCATACCTTGCTTAGTTAAAACACTATTATTAAATGAGCAATAAGAAAATAAAAAAAGAAATTAATACCTCCTCAAAGTGTTCTCCTATTGTCACGTCCACAATGCATTGACAATGTATTCTGTACATATTGAGGAAAACTTTGAGCTAAAAAAGGGCGAGAGACTGAATCGATATTAACCGTAGATTAAAATTGTCTTTTTTTAAAAGAAAGAAAGAAAATACATAACAAAAAAAAGACAATAATTTTTAAATACAGTACAGAACCCGTTATCCGGAAATCAGAAAACCGGAAAACCAAAAGACCGGAACGAAATTCAATAAATTTTCCACCCATTTAAAAAAAAATTTTTTTTCCTCATAAGATTTTAGGATTTTTCTTTCTTTTTTGAAAGATGTTTACCATACCATCATTTTAGAAATAATCATTACTGTATTACTTCATCGTTTTTTCTTCTTTTTAAGATTATTTCCTAATATTTTTTTTCTTTAGTTGGGTTTAACAATAAAAAAAACGGCTTTTTGTAGCGATTCAGAAAGCCGGAAAAATCAGTTATCCGGAATAGCGATGGTCCCGATCGTTTCGGATAATCGGTTCCCTACTGTATAACATCCTAATCCAGATGAAGTGGACAAAAGAGTTTATGCTCTTAAAATTTTCTTAAAGTAGCGAATGAAGTCCAGAGAGAATGTAACCTTGCCTCGTATATGAATTTTCTTTTTATTGTCAAGAAAATGTTGTAAAAACCTTTTTTCAAAAAAGAAAAAATATTGTAGTTTTAAACCTTTCACCCTAAAGAGGATTAAAAACTGTAATTTAGAACTTTTTTTAAAAAGTATTGGGATAAATGTTCACTTAGGTCCATCATGACGTTTTAGTTGACGTCACACTAGTGATAGGATCAAATTGCATCATCCATTAAAATTTCAAGACAAGGTGAATTTCAGCTGAGCATACAAGACTTTGTGAAAAGAAACCTTATATTGACCCAGATTTAAGATTATTTACAACCTGAGACTAGTTTTATTAGGATTCGCGCATAAGAACCCTAAGTCAACCTCTATTTCAGGTTTTTATATAGAAGGTTGTTTTCAAAGGTTTTGGATTAGGATATTGTGTGTATAGAACAGAGCATATTGTCACAGATCTCGTTTTAAGGTTAGAAGGTTTACACATAAACAGCATAACAAACCTTTTTAGGTTTACATCAAATTGTTTTTGCTGAGTTAAAATAAACTTCACTTTTCTGTCTGGGCTAGTTTGTCCCAATTCTCTAGTTTGGGTTACAAGGTTCGAAGAGGTTACATTGATTGTCCGATTATAAAATAGAAAAATACCTTTCTTTGGTTCATGTTTGACGGAACATACAAATCCTCAACATCAGGAAACATAGGCAGCAAAGTTCCGATTTTCGAATTTATGACTTTGGTTCCCTGCAATATACACAAAAGTCTTTTCATAAATTAACAATTTAATTTCTTCCCAATTTAATTTTTTACTTTATTATCATTGACAAGACGCTTCATGGCTCTAAAAGGCAAAATTCTGCTACTTTTTAAATAATTGACGCAAATTGTTAATACTAAAAATGTATGGCATTTTTTTAAAATTGTTTCTCTAGACATTTCAAGGTTCATATCTAAAATGAAGGAATCAACTAAAGTTCTGAATATTGCAAAATATTCATGCTATACTGGTTTTAATAAATTAAGGCAAAACCACATATACTCTGAAAGTTAAGCATAGAATTTAATGAGGCAGGCACACATAATAATGTAAAAGAACATTGAAATATTAATCAGACAGTTATTTTGTTACAGAAATGTGTACGAAACACTTTTTAAAAGTTAAAATCACTATTTCCTTTTTTTACTCTGTAGTCCCAAATTCAACTTGAAAGAAGAAAAAAAAGTTTCAAATATGTTTTCACAAATTTCAAAACTTTAAATTTGCAAAATAATTCTTGGAAAACGGAATAAAAACATTGAGAGGATAAAGAAAAAAAAAGGTAATCTGACGTCACACACACGTCTTGTGTGTGTGACGTCAGAAAGGAAGTCGCGGGATTTGACAGCAAATAATTTTAGACCCTGAAATAAAATATTCCCAGATTAATTTTAAAATTAAAAGGCAAATGAATGAACTCTAGTCTAAACAAACACATGTCATGGGTTTATAGTTTGAACAAAAGCAACATAAAGAAGAATTATGAAAAAATTATAGTGTAGTTTATCTAACACTTCAAAAATACAATTCCAATTCACTAGTATATAAGACATATTAAGTCGATTCTATGATGGGTTCATAGATGAAGGTTGACATTGTCGATAACTACCTGCCCCACTTTGGGCGTCATTTGGACGTGATGTGAACACGCTTACCTTGAGAGAATCTCCCACTTCAATTTAAACACGCCTGCTAAGATGGGTAGTCCAAATTGAACAGTTGATTTGCCACTTGTGACTGTATCATTGTACCCCTCTCGCACTGCTGCTACTCAGTCTCGATCACACTCGACGTTGGCCTGTGTACACTCGACTGATAATGGCAACATAGGAGCGACCAAGACCGTGAACTTAATACAGCTCTCATGATTAGCACTACGGTAATACAGCTTCTCCCGGCTTCTCCCAAAATCTATTACATCGAATTCTATTACAGATAAAATCCTAGTGGGGGAGTACTGTAGTGTATCTAACACTTCAAAAATAACAATTCCAATACACTAGTATATGAAGCATATTATAACTCGATTTTATGTTGGGGTACCTTTTCATAGATGAAGTGTCGATAGCTTCTCTCCCAACAATATTATCTTAAGCATAATTGCAAAATGAATATGATTGTTAAATGTTGACAAAAAAATTTAATTATGCTTACAATGAAATAAAAATAGTTTTTGTATTTATAAAATTTTTTCACTCCAGTCCCCTTTTTCCTTACTTGTTTATTCACATGTCATGAAAATGTATAGAAAAGTTGAAAGACACAGAAAGCAAACAATTTCCATTTTATCATTAATTGACAAGTGTTTTTTTGTTTTTTTAAAAAAAAGGAAGAGAATATTAAGTGCTATCGTCTAGATTTTCATGCTTCCCGATAAGCTCCCGGAACAAGTTTGTTTATCGGACTTGATCAGACAGCTTGGCGACATACCTGTCAGCGATATATCTTGCCAAATAAACACCGATTACACAAGAATATATTTCCGTTCTGATGCTTACAGACAAAGTTTGATTCACGTGTTGATTGATGAAAAAATTATGAAAAAGAAAATGTCACTTTTATTTATGTCATGATTTAAAAGCCAAAATTCACGCTTGTTTTTTCCCAGTTTGATTTCAGATTATTCACATCTTAACCTTTTCTTTAAAAAAATCGACAATTCTGTTTAAATGGTTATACTGCACACAAAATTAAAAAAGAAGAAAAGAATTCGGACATAAGTATTTTGCATTTCTTTTTGTGAAAATATGGCAGTGCAGAGCGAAAAAAAGTATGCTACATTTGCAATCCATGTCATTAACTTTCAGGCATTCCATGCTATTATGAAAAAAAATTATAATACAGTGCTTAAATAATTTTTCAATACGATACTATTCAAATTTCAAAATTCCGTGCTATTATAAAAAAAACGGTGATATAGTACGCTAAACGAAAGAAGACATTCCGTTCTGCTATAAAAAAAATGGTAGTACAATACAAAAAAAGTGAATTACATTTCCGGTCAGTATTATTCGGCTTCGGGCATTTCGTACTATTATATAAAAAAAATGAGGAATATTCAGTACTATTTTGTTTTGAGTTGTTCTGGTAATATAGCCGTTTTACACACCCCTAAATGAAATAGAATTCGCTAAAATAGTATTATTTTCAAATCCATGTATATAATAAAGAGTCAATATATGCAATGACTATTTTCACAAAAAGTTTACTCGCCTTTCTTTCGTTGCTTGTTCTGGAAAATCTGAAAAAGAAATATATATATATATATTCTATTTTTGATTTTATTTGCAATTAGAAAAATGGGAATTACTTGCCTCGTCACCCCTTCAGTACTGCACATAGTTGTAAAAACGCCATCTGATTTTATTCCAATTCCACTATAGTGGTATCTGTAAAAATATATATATATATTTTAGTTTCTTCCAATGATGTTTGAAAAATTAAGGTTGCCATTTCCAATAATTCATGGTAAAGATTAATTATTCATGGTAAAGATTAGATATATAAAGCAGTAAATTCATAGGGCTGTACTTTTTTCGTGTTATGGGTTGACGTTTCAAATAGTGGCAACAATTTTACTGAATTCTTTTTTGATGATTCAATTTGATAAAAATTAAATTAGGCTGTGATTGATTGGTATAGGAAACACAAATCAAACAGTAAGAAAAAACAAAGATGTAAATTACTTTGATGCGCAAAAGGCGGCTAAGTGCTTGTGGCATTACTACTTCACGGTTGCTTAACTACAGTGCTGTTTATTCTATCCGACCATTTCGGAAAATTGAGAAAGCAAATAGAAAGTTATTTTTTAGTTAATGTTGTTGATTATTAGAAATGGGCCTATTCCACCAGAAACTACTTTTGCGATTACATTTTTGATTTAAATTCTTTTAAACTTTAAAAAACGAATCGCATGATTAAGAATGCGAAAAGAGGATGTCTATATTTTTCTAAAGTTACTATAAATTCCTTTTTTTCTTCTTCCAAAAGTGAACTTATTCCATCATCCCACTTTCAAAAAAATCGGCCGGTATTAAAAAGAAAATTCAACTCAAAATTTTATAAAATGAAATAAAGCATAAATTTTGTATGATGTTTTTCTTTTGTCTAACTTTAAAGCTGCAAGTCCTGCTGGTAAAATATTAGCCGAAACCCTTAAAAATGTTTGCAAGGTAAGCTGCATAAGTTCAGGCTCTGTTTTGCTTTTAAAAAATCCAATTTTATAATTAATTAAATGTTAGCTCATGTGGTTGTGGTGCTCAATCTTAAAGGATTCTTATAATTTTGATTTATCCCGGTATCCCTCTAAAAAGAATTCTAATTTTTGAGTGATAACTCATCCTTTTAAATAGATTTACTGTTTAGATTATATTTAAGTAGATTTGTCCTAACAATTCAGGAAAATATATCTGGCAATTAGTCTCCTAATACACGAGGAGTTGAAATCAAATTCAAGGACGCCATTTGTAAAGGAAAAAAAAAAGAACTAACTTGGATTGTCCACGTGCACCGAGACGCTTGGATGTGACCTCTGGAAAAGTATTACGGACCAACTGAAATATAAATAAGAATAAGTGCTGGAGAAAGTGTTCAAAAATGAATTTTTTTATGAGCGTTCCTGAACATATTTTAATGATTGAATCCCGAAAATCGTTGCTGAAAAATAAATGACTATATTTGAACAGTTTATTAAATTTCGTTGGCATTCCGATAGTAGTAAAACAACGGAACTAAAATATGAATAAGAATAAGTGCAGTTTAGTGTTCAAAAATGAATTTTTTATGAACGTTTCTAAACATATCCTGGGCCAAGCATTAGGAGAAATTTGCCTTAGTGAAGGATTTTTTGATGGAACTTACCCGCATTTGCGTTACATGGAGCGGTAAACCACGCAAACCTTCCACGGTTCTGACGGCAAGGGGACTCTAACCCATGAATCTGTCAACCACTGAGGATATTTTACGTCAGCATTATGGCCGGTGCAAGCCGGATGCGGAATTCGTATAGACCAGCTATTTCTGTGATTCGAATCCGTTCGAATCCGGTCTACCCCCTGAGCCTTCACGGTTCCGAACTAAGTGATTGAAAAAGAATTCACTGTTTGCATTTGGCACGCATTAAAGCTTGTCTCATTTTCAAGTGCGGAGATGTTTCTCCTATTACTTCGGCTCTGAAGTAAACTCTGCGTCCGAGGAGTTGGAGGCAAGTGTCAACTCCTGGTGAACGAACTACCCACACATTTCCGTATTATTTTCACTGGTGATTATTTAAGGGCGTTCTTAAATTCAAACGAAAAAAACTGAGAATCTTACTTTTCCAAATGTAGCTTTGCATGTGGGTCGCGTATTTTGATTCTTGCAGAAATCTGTATACTGCGCGTACAAAATCTCTCTTGGAAGACACACATCAGGGCATGGAGAACAATTTTCTTTCAACCTGGATAAAAAAATAAATTATTATGTACGAATTAATGCATATTTATTTATCCTAATACAACCTCGATTGGTTTTTATATAGAAGGTTGCTTTCCAAGGTTTTGGATTAGGGTAATGTGCCTAGAATAGAGCAGATTGCTACGGATCTCGTTTTGAAATTAAAAGGTTTGCATGTAAACCGCATAACAAACTTTTTTAGGTTTACATTAAGTTTACATTACTTTTGTTGAGTGAAAATAAACCTTATTTTGCTATCTGGAATGTTTTGCCGAACTTAGCTGCATAGTCTCTGTAACTAATAAGCACCCACATTATTTACTGATAAGTTAGTTATTTTATGAAAGATTTCATTTTCCGATGTACAAAGCTTCAATTGAATTTGAATATCAAAAAGAACATACCACTCAACTGTTATAGAAATGTGCAGTTTTCTTTCTTTCGCAGAAGTGGTCAGTTTCTTCCTCTTTCTTTCATTCATCTCAATTGATCAAAGCTGAAATACAACAGTTATTTATATACCTTCTTCGTAAACATATGTGTATAAAACATTAGGGTATACTCAAACACATTGAAAATTTTATCAGAGCTTAACCACGCATTTTTACTGACCCGTTCTCAATAATATTTTTTTTTAAAGGAAGAGAATTTCATAGCTGCCAACTCTACTAGATTTTTGAGTAGATTACTGGATTAGGCCAGTTTCTCTTGGTCTATTGGTTTAATTAAAATTCTCCTGGTTTTTGAATATTTTTTATTGAAATAGAATTTGTTTACAGATTATTGCTTCCTTACTTGAATAATTAAATAAGTTTTAATAATACATAATGATGCAAACCTCATTTATTAAAAATAGTTCAAAACTTTTTTTTTGTTCGAAAATGTTCAGTTTATTTTTTATTCAGAACTCTCTTTTTAAATTAACTAAAAAACTCTTTTAGCAATCCTTGATGAATTAAATGCCTATTACTATTTGAAATTATAAGTAAACATAGTACATAGCATTTCAAGTAGGTTTAATGTCAATTTTTCTATTTTGATGACTATAAAAAGTCCCTACGTGTAAAATATTTAGTACATACATTATGCAGCAATAATCGTGAAATTTATATTTCGTAAAATCTACTGTATTTTTTCCTATCCGTGTTGGCAGCTTAAATGAAAATTACAATGTCTACAATTATGATAAAATATGCTGGTTTGAGATAAAAACATTAAGATAAAAAACCAAAAGAGTGTACCATTCTTTAGCTACAAATGCTTGTCCGGGGAACTGAGAAGTCGTCCCAGACTAACGGACTACCGTGAATTTCGAGGCTATGCATAATTATTCAGTATTACGAACTTAAGCATCATAAGGTTTGAGAACTGCATTTGTTGCCATTGTGAACTGGGTAATTGTCCTTGGGTATCAATTTGAAAAGGTATTTTTATTGATTTATATTATCTTAATTTTATTTCATTTTCCAGTATTCATTTGTCAAAATTGAATTCAAATAGACCCGGATGTAGCAATTTTTACCTCAATTTCATGATTTGGGTGACACACTCGGTGAGTTAGGCGAATTAGTCACAAAATAATTAAATAACGTAAATAGTTATTTGTGGGTAATTTTTAATGCAATTTTTGATAATATTATCAGAAAATGTCAAATTAGCATAAAAGTAAGATAATTTAGATAAATAAAAGTACAGTTTCAAATGTGTATAAACAACCAGTTGATTATAATGGGCTCCCCTTGAGACGCACGATGACATTTTCGGAAATGACTAACTATGCAATTCTCAATCCACGTTTGTAATCGTTGTTCTGGATCATCCTGTATTCTATACTTCCACAGAAAAAAATAAATAGTCTTAATCTCGAAACCAGTGAAATAGTAAGTTGACTAACTGTCTAAGTTGATCTTAAGTTGAATCACCAAGAAAAGAATTTATCCTGTATGCTAAAAGAGAGCAAAACCGTTGTGACCACCTGTTGTCTTGTATGTTGGCCTAGGAGTGTTATTTAACTAACACTTTATAAGTTGACCCACAAGAAAAAGAAGTTTCATAGAAATTTTTTTTCGCTGTTATGTTGTGTATTAGAATTTAACGGAATTCGTACAGTTTGTCTAAGCCACGGATGGGCAAACTTTCTTGGTCGAGGGCAAAAAATCGAGAAAAAAATTGTTTGGTGGGCCAAGTAAGAACTTCAAAATTTATTTTTAATTTTTTTTTAAAAAAAAGTGATATACAAGTTTTAATTTAAATATTTAGTGGGATGAAGGAAATTGCGATTTCATTTCTAAAAGTTCCTTATATTAAGGTTCGAAGTGAGATGTGCTTATTTNCAAAATTTATTTTTAAATTTTTTTCTTAAAAAAAGTGATATACAAGTTTTAATTTAAGTGAGATGAATGAAATTGCGATTTCATTTTTAAAAGTACCTTATATTGAGGTTCGAAGTGAGATGTGCTTATTTTAAGGAACGAGGCTAAATGCTTGTCTGTTAGTCTACTTCTGAAACGATTTTTCTAAGGTTCATAGTTGAAAACTCTTGTTCACATACATAAGATGAAGCAAACATAGCACTGATTTCCTGGGCATGAAATATTAGATTTTGAAAACTAGGCTTTGGTAATGATTTAGAAAACTGAAACTTCGGCATATTTAGAAACAACTGCTTCAGATGATTATTAGATTGTCCCCTCGTTGGAGCTTAAAATACGTTGTCTGCCACATGTGAAGTACAATTCACCTATATTAGATTCCATAAGTTTGCTCCTCGAAAAAGACAAACGCTAGTTGGAGCCAATCTACGACTATTCTATAAAGAACTTCTTTCAACATTTTACCAATTGAAGCTGTCTGTGCTAACTATTTCCATCAATTTATGTTTTGTAGAACAAAAATAAAGAAAGTAAAAAGGTCATCAGTACTTTGTTAAAAAAGAAAGAGCAGAAATAGCTTTAAACAAAGTCGGCAAGAAAATGGATGTATATTGTTTATATTTATCACGGATCGGCAAGTTAAAATTCTATTCGCGGGCCGGATAAAACCTTCCGACGGGCCACAGTTGGCCCGCGGGCCGCAGTTTGCCCATCCCTGGTCTAAGCTAAGAACTCCTCCCACCGCAAAGTCTGTGCTATGGAAAGTATGGCAAAGTATGTCTATGGATGTGCTATGGAAACAAAATTGGCGCATTTTAGAAAAGGTACTAAAAAAACTAGTAGCTTCATTCTAGGACTAACACAATAGACCGAAGAAAGAGATTCCCTTTCTCTCGCCGAAACCATTCCAAAACAGTGACCCCGGACTCCTGCTGGAAATAGTCATACCTCGTTACCATAGTCACCGCCACAGGCTCAGACGAATGTCTGGGTGAGTTCTTATTTCACACAAATTATAAAATAGTAGAGCTAACTTAAGCCTCTTGGCGTGTAGACCGTATAGTGAAACAAATAACCCATACGTTATGATTATGTATGTTAGAGTAATATGATACAAAAAAAAAATGATTCCTATCTTGTAGTTCCTTATCACAAAAGCAATGCACTGCAAGTGGCACAACTTCACTGCATTAGTTTTAAAATGCACTTCATATGAGTCATTTTTTTATTACCTGAAATGTTTTCTTTTGTAATGTTGTTCAGAAGGGGCCAAACAAACGGAGTTTTTGGAATTAAAGCCCCCTCACACAGTTAAATGAATCATTCAAAAATCAGAATTAAATTAGTTTTTGATCTAATAGTCGGTTACACAAGACAACATTTGTAAGTGTGGAGAATTAGATTAAAGAATATATAAGACGCGAGCATGCGCAATGAATTACGTAACGATTCCCTCCACGTCATCAGATGATATATTGTTGTTGTTTATGTTAATAAAATGTTGTTAATTACGATCTGCCTAATTAATTAAGAACCTCGATGGACATCATTTAGACAATAATAAGTAAGTAAAACGATATAGTGGCCTCACTGCCTGGACGTGCGAAGCAGATCGTAAAAAAATCAACTACGCTGTAAAGAAACCATAATTACGTAAGCATGGATGCTTCAAAACAATTACGAGCTGCTTCCCGGACAAGTTTTACGAAAGCCTTAAATAAGTTAGATAATAAATAAGTTAAATTAGTTAGCCGATACGTCAGGTAAGACTGATTTAGATTTGTTAATAGAATTTTTACGAAATGAAGTTGTATCTGAATATAGATTAAAATTAAGTAAGGAATCATTTTCTTCAGATAAAATTTTAATAGTAAAAAGTATATTAATAAGTATGAAACAGAACATATTGCTTCTTCATGTGAATTGTTTAATTCTAATAAGAATGAAAATGAATGCATAAATAAGTTTAAGAAATTCGATACGAATATGTCAAGGGCGCCGGCAGAATAATATTAAAGGGGGTGCAACCCTCTGACAAACCCTCCCCCCCAAAAAAGAAGAAAAAATTAAAAAATATTCTGTTATTACATTTTGTTTTGTTATTACATATACTTTCATCTGTTAATTTTTTTCACGATTCATTTCCTCTTGGTTATAAAAATATTTAAAAAAAAGGTACAAATTTCTTGTACTTGCAAATTTTGCCACGAGAAACTGTATTGATGGCGCTGGCATAGCTACACTAAAACTTGCAGGTTCTTTTTCAAATTTTCATAATGTGAAATGATTTTCACTAAACTTTTCTTGGCATAAAACAAATTTATTTAAACACCTACTATGCCACATCACATACATAAAATTAAGTATATAGAAATATTTACAAATCACATCGTCAAAAAGCGCTTCGCTCCTTCCTCCCACATACTAATCCTTTTTTTCACCACTCTAATAGAAGAGAGATTCTTTTTTAATTAATTCTTAAGTTTTGTTCATATCTCGCAGCGCCATCTAGTGGTGGCAAACCTTACAGCTACTGACTTTGAAACACATATAACTACAATCAGTAGTTTCGTATACCAACGTGTTTGTGGCTGGCTAAGCAGGTGGCGTTCAAAAATTGATTCGAGATAAATATCCTATAGCTGTGTTTTTTCATTGCGACAATCATGTATTAAATGTCGTGATCAACGACTTAAACCGCGTTAAGGAAGTACAGAATACTATAGGGACAACGAAGGAAATTATTAGGTTTTCAGAGAAGTACCTTGCGACGAAAAGAAATTCCTAACATCCCTTTACTCTGTGAAACACGCTGGTCAGAAAAGTACAAGAGTACCATACGATTTTCTGAAAAGTTTGTTACAATTATAAAAGCTTTTGAGCTCCTTACAGAAAAAGCGGCAAACAAAAACACCAAAGTGAAAACTAATATACTTTTATCAGCTTCTACAACGCCAATATACATTGTATCATTTTTTGTTATTGCTACTTATTCTGTCAAACTTAAATCTGTGTGCCATCAGTTGCTAAAAGTAAACACAGATCTAAGAGAACTAATTGATTATGTAGTCATATTGATAGATGTGCTGCAAATTCATCAAAACAATGCTTCTGAAGAGTTTAC